TATCTTTTTTTGTGATAACAAAAATATTAACTCAATTGTTATAATAGTAATATGAGGATGCATTAGCAAATTATATGATAAATATATACCATATAGTTATAAAATAAATATAAATTTACCAATGTTACCATGTCATGTCCTAGTTCTATATTTAAAACACATGAAATTATTTCATATACATATATATGCTTCTTCTAATAAAAATTGCATATTGCTAAACAAAATTCATCTTCTTGAAGAACAAATCTTAACTGACTACAAAAAATAATTCAAACCTACATTCACATAGGCTACAATTGCTATATTAACCCATTATTTCCACCATTATTTTCAACACTGTGTAACAGTGGTGAAAGTGAAAATCTTTGTCTTGTATTAGGCCCTAGAAAAAAAGTTTTCAGTTTTTCATCATTGAGTATCATGTCAGCCGTGAGTCTTTCCTTCGGCATTTACTATGTTAAGAAATGTCCCATCTACCTCCGATTTGTTGAGGGTTTTTATCATAAATGGATGTTTCATCTTATCAAAAGCTTTTCAGCATCTATTGTTCTAATCATAATATTTTTATATTCCTTTTGTTGATATAATGAATTACATTGATTGATTTCCAGAAGTTGTACCATCCCTGTATCACTGAAATAAATCCCACGTGGTCAAGGTGTATAATCCTTTGGATGCACTGTTGATTTATTTTGCTAAGATTTCATTGACGGTGTTTGCATCTAAGTTCATGTGTAATTGGTTTGTAATTATCTTATATTTGTGACATTTTTGACAGGTTTTGTTATAAGAGATGTTGGCTCCATAAAACATAATTGTAGCTTTACCTCTTTTGCTATTTTTTGGGAAGAGATTCAGTAAAATAGGTGTTAGTTCATCTTTTTTATTTTTACCAATCTCTAAGAAGTACCTTGTCTAGAAGTCCAGTGTGGAAGTCTATGTGAGTAAGATGCTATATGTTGGCCCTAAGCAAGTCACCAAGCTGGTCCAGTTCACTGTGCCCACCTAGAACATCCGATGAGAACAGATTGGAGACCCCATGGGTCAGGGTGGGCAAGGGTAAGAACAATCCTGGGCTCCCTGGGGTATCCACAATCACTCTTGGGAATCCAGAACCCATGCCATGGATGGCTGTGCAGCTCTCTCCAATGCTAAACAGTGGCCCCGGGTGTCCCCTTGTTGAACTGTGGAGCAGGCTGTGCTGTCACAGAGAATTATGCTGTCTCCTTCCCAGGCCAATTGTCTTTCCATATCCATTAGCTCTTATGTGTGAGGAGATCAGTCCGGCTCTATTGACATATTTGCAAGGAAATGTTACACCAACCTCCAATTATATAATAAATATATACCATATAGTTATAAAAATAAATGTAATTTTACCAGTGTTACCATGTCGTGACCTAGTTCTATATTTAAAACTCATGAAATTATTTCATATACATATATATGCTTCTTCAAATTAACCCTGAATATTGCTAAACAAAATTCATCTTCTTGAAGAACAAATCTTAACCGACTACAAAAAAGAATTCCAACCTACATTCACATAGGCCACAATTGCTATATTAACCCATTATTTCCAACTACCACTTTCAACACAGTGTAATAGTGGTGAAAGTGAAAATCTTTGTCTTGTATTAGACCCTAGAGAAAAAGCTTTCAGTTTTTCATCATTGAGTATGATGTCAGCCATGAATCTTTCCTTTGGCATTTATTATGTTGAGAAATGACAGGCCAGCTGGCTCACACCTTTCTCCTTGCAAGAAGCAGGTAGGTGAAGATCAGGTGGGTGAAGGGGTTCAGAGTGGGTGGTATCCTCAGCCAGCACCACGGCCAGTCTGTAGAGAATCTGGAAATCTTCCTGGAGGTGGTTGCTTCATGGTACTGAGCAACAGGGCTGTAGAAGCACGAGGCCTCTTGCTGCATGGCCCTAAGATAGTAAAGATAGCACCAAAAATAAATGTGTGTGTCCTAATATCTGAAAAGAAAACTGCAGCATCAAGACATCTGCAATTCTTTTGAAAAGCACAATTGTAGATTCAACTATACACATTTAATCATGTACTATCAGTGACATCATAATGAAAAGTGCCTATCTAGGAGTTGAGGTATTCAGTAAAATATCATCAGTGATCTCAGAAGAGGACTGAATATTTGGAGATAAAACTCATCTCTCAATATTAGTGAATCTTAGGAAACATGTAGGAATTAGAAATTCTTAAATGTTTCAATGCATCTATCTGCCTATGTATCTCTGCCTCTGTGAGGATCTGCAGAAATGTGAGGATGTGTGGGTATGTGAGGATGTGCAGGGATGTGAGGGAATGTGTGCGGGGATGTGATGGTGTGAGGGGATGGGGACTGGAGGGAATTTGTGTGGCAAGAGGGGATGTGAAGGGACTTGAGAGGATGTGAGACAGCAAGGTGACTTGTGGGTGGTGGGGGAGGCTGGAGGATGGGATGTGGGGAAATTGTGGGGACATGGTGGAATGTGAGGGGGAAGTGTAGAGGATGTGTGGAGATGGAGAGTCCCAGGAACAGTGTGAGGATGCACTGGTCGAAAAAAGACCCCTGGTGAATCCAGCTCAGGATTTTATGCTCATCCAGCAACTGCTAATGTGGGGGTGTGGTTGGGAGTCACTGCTCAGTTGTCAGCCCTGCCTTTGGCATCTCAGTCTTGCCGCCCTCACAGTCACTAAGTGAAGCTGAAGGTGAGGCCTCTCCCACCCATGGACTGGAGGAGCCATTAGTGAAAAGCTGGGCCACCATTCTGGAGGCCACACCACTTGCTGGTTGTCTGGGTCCAAGGTCATAGCCGGCCTCCTCATCAGGTGGGCCTAAGAGAAAACCTTGTTTGTGCCTGGGACTCTGTCTTTGAGGTGCCATGACTGAATAGCAGCTGGTGGTGGTGACCACCCAGGTCATCCAGAACTACTTCATGGATAAGATGCCCCCATTGTTGTGAGTGGATACTGGCCTCTTCCCAGGCCCCTCAACTCAGTGAGTATCCACAAAGCCAGGTGAAGGTGTTGGCTCCTGGGCTCCGCCTTGAACTGTGACATGGTAGGCTGTCTTCTGCAGGCTTCATTGGAGGGGTGTCAGGGAGATGATGCCATTCACAGAAGGGAGGGGTCCCTGAGCAGTGTGCTCCTGTGGGACACATATGGAAACAAGTGGGGATGGATAGGGAGAAGTACTTGCTGGACATCCTGGATAGGAAGGGATGGAAAGAGGACAGTACCAGGCTAGACCAGAACATGCACATGGTGAGGGGTCCCTGCTGTGTTCCCATCAGCAACACCAAGGTCTTTTAGGACAGTCACCTGGACAGTTGACCTGCTGCCAAGCCCAGGGTGTCCCTAGCCGCTAAGTATCCTGGATATAGAGAGACAGGCCAGCTGGCTCACACCTTCCTCCTTGCAAGAAGCAGGTGGATGAAGATCAGGTGGGTGAAGGGCTCAATACTGTGTTGGAATTGCTGGTAGGCAACAATTGGAGCATGGCAGTGTACAGCACTGAAGCACAGGCATGCCTTCAGTCATGGCATCCATTTCATGAGGCATTTCAAATGCCCCAAGTGAGGGGCTTCCTCCTCACACAGCTGTACCCCACCTTCCAGAAAGCAACACTCACTACACCCCTCCCTTGACACTGGGCAGAGGCCCCAGAGCCCCTGGTGCTGTATGTCTTCCAGGACAGCAGGACAGCCAGGGAAGCCAGTGCCTGGGTGTAGACCGACACAAACACAAGGAAAACGCTGGAGAAAGCTGCCCTGAACCAGGATAGAGCCCTGACCCTGGGGCCTCTGCCTCTCTGTCCCAGAGCACCCCTTGGTAGCTCAGTCCTGACCCTTCAGTAGGTTGTTGTGCATAAAGGCAGTAGCTCAGATGGGAGTGGGCAGGGCCCTAAAACTTGGAACCAGAACTGGGAGCACTCCTACCCTGCCCTGCCCTTCCCTGTGGGGTGCAGAGGATCCAGCTGCCATATGGGTGGCGACAGGAGCTGCAAGGAGCAGGTCTCTGTTTGCAGGTGCAGGGGTGGGGAAAAGGCCAGCATCTGCTATGCCTGCTGGGGCACTAGGGAGCTCCCTGGGGGCCAGCCTTTCCTTGTGGAGTGTGGAGGATGACCTTTACATCCAGGTTTGGGAGATGAACAGCAAAAGGTACATAAACTGTGCGTACTGGTTGGGGAAAGCCAGGCTTGCCAGAGCTGCAGGAGCTGTAGGGGCCCGCTGTCCTGATGGCAGCCATTGGGTCCATTCTGGGGTCTCTGCTGCTTCTCAGTGCTCTCTGCACAGGGGGAAGGAGGAGGGAAGGAACGGTGGGCCCTAGAAATGCAGCCAATTCCAGGAGACTGATGTGACTCCACACCCTCCTACTGTTAGTGGGCCGACCGAGGTGTACCCTAAAACCTCCAAAATCGCATGCTCTAATGGTGTCTGGTTATTGGTGCTCCCAAAGACAAAGTATATGTGAAAGAACTTTACTAGGATTCATGTGCACAGAGAGAAGGAATTTTTTTTTTCCCAAGAAAACACCCAAAGTCACCCATCCCTCAAGGAAAATGCCCAGCCAAACTGGTTGCCCGAAGTAGGGCTGCTGAGGCCTGAAAACTTGACACGAATTTAAGGTACCTTTAGGTAGGAAATCACAGGAAAGGGGCCAAAGAGGCAGGTAAATCTGGGACAAAAGAAGGCAAATCAAAGTACAAAATAAAAGCTGCCATGTCAGCTTCCCCACACATCTCTTCCAAGTGTCACTACAACTCCACGTCTCCTCCATGTCCCCCAACTCCCTGGGCGAGTCTGGAGTCAAGGCGGCAGGTCCTTCCCCATGTCTCTCTCCTGTGGGTCCTTTGCCTTCAGTGTTCTATAACTTCACCTGGCCACTCACCTTCACCCTCATTATGTGGGATGTGGGGCAGGAATATGGAACCTTCTCTTATAATGAGGCCTCTGTTTTATTTTTTTAAAGATTTATTTATTTATACAAGAACCAGGGTATAGGCCAGATGTGCAGAAGGGTGAGAGGATTCACCAGAGAAAGAGTGGGGAACAGAACAGACAGATTGACTGAAATACACTGCTGAGGGGAGCAGCGGGTGAGACAGGAGAGGTCTGCTATAACATGTGGGTTTCTCCCTGGCCAGCTGGGATCGAACCCATGCTGCAGAGGCTTTGGACAGCTTCACAGTGTGGTGCTCAATGGCCTGTGCCACCAGGGAGGCCCAGAGGCCTCTGTTTTACCACCTGGATTTGTATAAAACTGGCCAGCTGCACCCCTTCTCCTCTGCTCTCTGCCCAGCCTGGCCCAGTGAGCACAGGCTGAACTGGGGTAGGGAGGTCGTGGTGTGGGCAGCTCAGCAGGCAGTGACTGCCTCTGCCTCTGAGGTGTCAAGTGCCTCCTTCAGAGCATCAGAGTGCTTAGGAACAGACCAGTCTTGTATTGTGAGCCCAAAACATTTATTTGAGGCCGAGAGTGAGAGTAGAAGTGTGGATTTTCAGAGTAGGCCGGACATGGTCCAGACACTTGTGGCCTGGTGGCTACTCAGGTAGCCAAGTCTGGCTGCTGCCACCCAAGCTAGGCCCCCTCAGCTGACAGAGGTGGCTCGAGGTGGCAGGCTCGGGCACCAGGAGACCAGGTGCGCCTCAGACCTGCATTGTAGCAGAGTTGCCCTGGCCCCTTCTCTTTAGGGAGGCTCACCGCCCTGGGTGGGGCAGGGACTGCAGGTACCACGGGGCAGGAGGGGAGTCCTGGGCCTGGAAGCCTGCTGCCCAGAAGACCAGGAAGGATGGGGCTTCAGAAACCCCATGTTGTGGCAGGCCTGGGGCAGTCCTATGAGCCAGGCCAGAGCAGATGGGTAGGAGGCATTGAGGTCTGCAAAGAAGGCCACAGTCTCTGGTGACCTGTTCATGACCTCAGGGGTCACAGGAAATGAGGGTTCTGATCTGTAGAGTTGGCGCCCTGGGCAGAGCCTTGCAGCGCTGGGCACTACAGATGTTTGCTGCAAGGGTATCACAGGCCACGCCTCAGGTACAGCTGAAAGAGAGCACACAGGGTCAGCTTCTGCCCCAGTTCTTGTGTTTTCCATGAGCAAGGCCCATGGGCTTGGTTCCCTAGTGCCCTGGGGGCTTCTGCCTGGCTGCTCTTGAGCTCTGATCCCAAGTGTCTGAGTGTCAGCCCCAATCTGCTCTCTGAAACTCCATAGAGGAAAAGGGGAGGTGGAAGGGTCAGGGAGGGCCCAGGACCTCCTTCTGATGTTCATTGCCCAAAGAAGGTGCACCCACAGGGAACATGGCTTGAGCCTACCTGGTGGGGGTAGGTCCAAGTCCAGCCTCCTGAGGTAGGACATGGAGACCTGAAGGTGCCTGAGGACTTGGTCATCCGGCAGGCCCCAGGGCTGGGCCAGGGTATTGTGCAGGAAGTCCTGCATGCCCTCCCGGGGCAGCCTGAGCAGCTGTTCTAGGAGGGGGGCATGTCAGTAATGAGGGGTCCCTATGGGGGTTCAGGCCCACCTCACCCCCATCCCCGGGCATACCCTGGGCACCTGCTTCTTCTGCTCTGCTCAGGATGCCCCAGACACAGTCACTGCAGCAGAAGCCACACAGAGAGGGCCCTCATTGCCGCCATTCTCTGCAGGGCCCTGACAAGCTCACCACCCCAGTAAGTTTACAAACACACTCTCGTTTGTGCACCCCACATAGCCTGCGGCCCCAGCGCACATACTTACTCTCATGTACCTTCAGCATGGTGTAGGCCATGCTGGTCAGCACTCGCTCCCCATCAAGGATGAAGGCATCCCATATCCTCAGTGTCAGTGGGAAGGGTGTCTGGGGACAGCAGCAGTGAGGAGCCACCTGAGCAGGCCACATTTGTGGGCCCCTGCGCCTCTGGATCCCCCACATGCTGCTGCAGGTCCCACAACCCCTCCCAGGCTGTGTCAAAACCCTGCATTTCCTCATCTCAGCAGACTCACCTGTAGGAAAGGGTTCCTGGCTAACAGGGTCCATCAGCTAGGAGGGGTGATGAGGACTGAGAGCACAGCTGCCAAAGGGGACCAGCAGGGACCTCCACACAGCAGGACCCCATTCCAAAGGAGGAGTCTGACACTCTTGTCAAGGACAAGTCGTAACTCAGGCTGACCCGGCCATACCAGCTTTGGACTTCCCCGATGCGCTCCGGCCCACCCAGCATCAGGCAGGCCGCCACCTTACCCGGTGGAGGAAACACTCCAGGAACCACTGGGCACAATAGGTCTGACTGAACAGCTGCTCCTGGTCCTATGGCAAGGGTACAGGGTGCTCAGGGCCCTCCCAGGCAGCAACAAACTTCCCCACTCAGGGGCCCTGAGCAAGGCAACTGGGGGCCAAGGGTGCTTTCTCTGCAGCCTTGCCTACCAGAAGGACAGGGAAGCCACCTGCTCTTGGTCTGGGCCGAGCATCATCTACTCACCATGTGATGTTTCAGTCTGGGGAGCGTTTGTCCGATGGTGTAGTCGTGGTGTACCAGGAACCGGCCCAGTTTGGGGCACCCAGTGCTAAAGAAACCTGAAAAGTCCCAGGACTCTGAACTCACCTGCTCTAGTGAGGTGGGGTACTGGCAGGCCCCACTCCTGAGCTCTTCCCCACACTGACCCATCAGTTGCCCATGGCCCTCCCAGTCCTGATGTCACACGGTTCCCAGAGAGCAGGCCTGTCCTTGAAACCCATGCTGATGGGTAAGCCATGTACCCTCACCCCCCACCGTCATGTATCCCCCACCCCACCACCATCCCCATTGAGGTCCAAGTTTTGCCTGGTGCCCCGACATGAGGTTCAGACAGACATCCTGACCCAGGCCTTCCCCTTCCCACAATGGCCACATTGGCACTGAGTTCCTAGGGTGGTGATTAGGGGGTACATAGCCATTTCCTGAACTTGGGGACAGGTTGAGGGCACACAGGAATGAGGGATTCTGTACTTCATCTGACCCTGGGTCCTTGGATGGTTGGTCAGTGGGCCAAGCCTGAGGCAGAATTCTTATGCAGAGCTGTGAGAACTGTTTGCACAAGGAAGGGCGGAGGTGAAGGTAGTTGTAGGACCCGCAGGGTATTATGGGGATGGAGGTGTCCTTCCCTGTTGGGAGTTGACTGGGTGGGATCCTCAGCCAACCCAACTGGCAGGGGGCTGTGTAGACACTGCTACCACCCACCGTGCATGGCATGGGCATCATTAGTCATCAGCTCATCCAGAGCCCAGAATGCATCTTCTTCCTCCAGATACATGAGGAGCACTGCCACAATCTGACTCAGGTGCTGGCAGTGGCCTACCTCCTGCAAAAATCAAAGACTCAAGGTGTCTGTCCAGCATCTCAGCCTTCAGGGTGTCCGGGACAGAGTACAGGGTGGCTGTGGCACTTGTTGGGGCTGCAGAACCCCTGATCCAGCCATGGCCACCTTGTATCCCAACTCTCAGCCATGGCCTTTGGGTGTCCTATCCCGAGGGTGACAGTACGCTAAGATCTGGGGGCCCAGTTTGAGAATAGGTGGGGTGGAGGGTGGGGCTGACCCACCACATGCAGCACTAGGAGAGCATCCAGGCCACAGATGCAGGAGGATGGCTGGGTCCCTGCAGTGGACACAGCTGGGACTCCCGGAGGGAATGTTGGGCATAGAGCAGGCAGGGCTAACAGGTCCTATGGGAACCAGCTCTCTGTCTCCCCCCTTCTTATGGGAATTGGAGTTGATGGGAACATTCATTCCTGCTCAATTTCTGATGAATACTGTGGACTCTAGGATCACTGGTTTGGGCATGTGCAGAGGAACACCCTGGGCCACCAGGCTTCTGGGGTTTAGGAAGTGAGGTGCCCTTTCCAGTTCTGAAAAGGGGTGCTCTGGCCACTGGAGTGCCCTGTTATGCTGTGTGTTAGTTGTCAGCCCCTTCTGTGGTCATCTCTGGCTGTGGGACTGAGGTCTGCAGCACGTCCCATGGGATGCTGCTGGGCGGGGAACTCACCGGGTTGTAGATGGAATATGTCACCAGGATGTGGAAGAGGGCCTGCTGCCTGGGAGGGCAAGAGGTGGGGTTGCTGCAGGTGTCCCAGCTCCTCTAGCCTGCCCTAACCTGCCTGCAGAGCTGAGGCTTCCTGAAGCCATCAGCTGACAAGAGGGACTTCTCAGGGCACCCGGCATTTAATGTCAATATCTCAAGTGCACAGTGGGTGGGTTTTAGTGTTCATGTTTTGTTGTTTAGTTTGCAAATGTTAAAGTTCGTGTCTAGGATGTACGACTCCAGAGATTTTCACCAAGGAGTAGAGTGTGCAGGCCCTCCCCACACTAACCCCTTCCTCCTCAAATTACCTGTACAGCCAATACTCGCCCCTCCTCTGAGTCCCTGAGCCTCCCCCCCACCCCCATCCATCTCCCAGGGAGCTGGAAGCCCTATCAGGACACCAGAACTCCACCATCCCTCCTTGAACCACTAAGTCCCTAAATCCCCCTGGGACCTGTGGTATGCCCCAGTCCTCTTGGGACCTCCATCTGCCTTCCCAGGCCCTCCTGAGACTCCCAAATTCCTCCAGATCCCCAGATTCCTCCAGTCACCCTGAGTTCCTGGAGCACCTTTGGACCTCCCAGATTTACCCTCTGTCCTCCTGAGTAAACCTCAATCCCTATGAGCACCCCTCAAAAGTGCCCCCAGACCCACTCCCACCACAGTTCCCACCGCAGGGCCATGGTCACCCTTGGACTGTGGCCCCTGACCCTGTTGTCCAGCAGCCTCACTTGATGCTGTAGCGCTCCCTGGACATGATGTGCCTTCTGAAGGTGAGGCTCACGTCCAGATCGATCTCTTTAATGTAGGGGGAGAGCACCTTGCCCAGCTCCTTCAGATGCTATGGGTAGAACAACAGAGCTGCTTGAGAAACAACTCCACCCCTGCTCCCCGCTCCCCCCCCCACTGCTCCTGTGTGAAGCAGGGAGGGTGGCTTTTGGCCCAGGCCTGGTATCCTCTATCCCTACGATGATGCTCAGTCCATGCGCTCCTTCCAGGCTCCAGAACCCAACCTGTTTCACAAGCCTCCCTGTTTCTCCTCTGAGGCCTAGGGTGCCTCTGCACCCCACAATCTTCTCCCCTCCCCTGCGCGGGGACTGCCCAGAGAACTCCCAAGATACGGCCTATCACGGGGCCTTCGAGGAGCACCCTCCTCATAGGCAGCAGCACCCTCCTCGTAGCAGGCTCACTCTCACCTTCCTTCTCCACTGGCCTGCTCACTCTTTCAGCAAGTATGCATCTGGCACCAGCCATGCTACTGCCCCCCCAAGTTGGGCTGCCCAGGAATAAGAGGGCTGATCAGCTTGCTACCTATTCTCTAGATGCTGAAAGCATTCATGAGTATCTTGGGACCCACGGTCCTGACACCGCCCCCCCCCCACCACTTTTGGATGCTTGGGGCTCCGTAGAGAATGATACACCTGTTTCCCATTGGAAAGCAGTTTCTCTCATCTACTGGACAACTTTCAACCTTAGCCTGTTCTTGTGAGCCCAGTTCACATTGTAGTGTGCTTTATAATTTGGAGTAATAGAATTTTTAGAATGTCTTGCATTTTTGAAGTGTAAAATGCTATCACCTGCAAATGGACAATTGTTTCTTTTTTATCTGTGTAACATTTACTTGGATTGTCTTGTCTGATTTGTCAGTCAAAACTAGCAAGCCACTCTGAATCACAGGTAATAGTGCATTTATCTGTTTTTTCCTTCCTGTTTTTAAAGGCAGTAGCTTCAGCATTTCAAGGCCACTTATAATTTAACGTTTTTTCTTAAAAATTTTAAAAAATAGATTACTTCTACTTTCATGTTACTTTATCTCTTTTTTTTTTTTTTTTTTTTTTTTTTTTTTTTACACAATTAGGAATAGTGGCTGCATTTTTCTCACTAGTTTTCTGGAACCCACTTAACATCAGGTGACTTCTCTTTCCATGTGTAGCCGGGAGGTGACAAGGCTTTTAGGTATGAGATACCAGGGTCCTTCTGAATTGAGGAGGGTAGTGAGAAGCCCCCAAGATCATGACTCTCCACATTGCAAAATTCAGCTCCTTTGAGCCTGCCCCTGCCCAAGCACACAAGGCTGTACCTCATATTCTCCCTTGTTCTCCACCTTCACTTGGTCCAACCCCAGCAAGAGAGACCAAACACGACCCCGCACTTGTGGGGGCATCCCCTTGTAGACCCGGCGATGCATCTGTGGGAAAGAAGACAGCTGTGGGCCCAGGCAGCTGTCAAGAGAAGAGGGCACCATGCGGCCTTTGAGGGTCACCTGTGCCTGCCTTGGATGCCAGGGTGTGCCTGGACCTGGACCTCATTGCCCACAGTGAAGACCAGGCTGACTTCTGCTAAACCCTGGGATTCTGTCCTGACAGGTGACCCTTGGGGTGGGCAGGGAGGCTGAGGGCTGCCCTGGAGCCCATGCCAACTGCCTGGGACTCAGCTGTCTACCTTGGAGCTGTTGCAGTATTTGTTCCATTGCTTTAACATCTTCACCCACTTGTCTGCCCTCTTAGCAGTCTGGAGATTGTGCTGAAAAACAAGGATGGAAGGTGTGAACAGCACAGTGTTCCTCAACCTCAGGATACACACAAAGTGGCCAGGAAAGTCTCAAAGCTGAGGTGCAGACACGCGGGCCTCCCAGTCAGTCCTGACCTCCAGGTGGAGTCCTGAGGTGAGTCCTGAGCCTCTCATGTGTGGTGGAGGGTCAGGTGGGCTTGGTGAACAGGCCCCACAATACAGCCCTCATGGGGTGATATCAGCCCCGCCCTCCTTTGTGCTGTGACAGGGCACCTCTCACCTTGATCTCCTGAGTGCTGAGGTCAGGCAATTCCTTCCCACTGGAAGCAAGGAAAGCAGGGTGTGAGGACTGTGCCATGACCCGTCCATCCCTAAGTCAGCGCGAGGGAAGGACCTGGCCCAGTGCACAGGTGTCTATGGGGACTCCAGTCACAAGGTATACCATTGCAGTATATGTGCAAGTTCTTTGGAGCCTGAGACGAGTCCATGCTGGTTAGGGTGTATCTGGACCTCCAGTGAAAACCCCCAGGAAAATCCCTGCCTCTGTCCTGTGGCGGGCTGCCAGAGCACTGACAGCCCCACACAGCCAGGTGCACTGGTGTGTGTTCTGTCCGTTTCCCCTCACAGGGTCTGCCTCTGGTGTCCATGTGCTTTTTCCTAGATGCCCTGTCCACCTCTTTTGTCTGTCACTTATGCCAATTTCCATCTTTCCCCCTGTCTTGCCAGAGCTATACCCATGATTAACCCTAGATAAATAAACCACTCTTGTCTACTTATTAAGTGGCTGCTGAACCCTGCCAGGGCCTCGGGCCAAGAGCAGGGCCTCAGGAGTCCACACCGTTGGCCTCCATTTTCAGATGCCTCCTGACCCCCCCAGCCAAAACAGAGAAATATCCCCACATAGCCTGTGCTGTCCACCTCTCTTTCCTGCCTGTCTCTTCAACCTGAGGCCACACCCGTCCTGGTTCCTGTCTCCACATGGTGTTGGGTTGGGCCCCCCAGCCCTCAGAGCCCTGTGGGAATGCGGCTGACAGGACTGGTTGTTCCGACACCTCATCCATCAGAGCCACACCCTGCAGAGCTTCTGCTCACTAGGCCAGACCCTTCCTCTCACACTGAGGCAGACACCACCACACCTGCCCCCACACAGGCAGAGACCACACCTTCAAGAGCCCAGGGGCTTAGGCCAAGGTCCAGCTCAGTCCTGGTCCACATCGCCAAGTTGGACTGCAAGTTCTTTCAGCACCAGCCCACCATGGCCCCTGGACCCCTGGGGACACTGGGACAGGTCTTAAATGGAGGAGATGGAACCTGTCCCCCGAGAGATATAGCTACAAACAAGAGCCAGCCTGGTTTTGGACTTCTGTCCAGATGACTCACTGAAGGAAACCCAGCTGATCAACCGCTCTATAAATCAACAGGTCTGCATCGTCCCCAGGGTCCACCGGTGTCCCAGCTTGTGGTCCCTGCAATCAGAGGGGATGCTGTGGAGATGGCAGACCAGAGCCCAAGGTAGGTAGGCGGGAGGACAGCATGGCTCCTCCCTCCCCAGCAAACTTAGGGCCCCAGGAAACCTCTACTAAGGACCTGGCAAGCAAGGCAGCACCCATGCGCCTAAATGGGAGCACCTCACACCTACCTGCCCCTCCTGCCAGTGATCCCACCTGAGCCTTACCTGTTCCTGTTGACTACTCTCCCTGCTTGGGCTCTACCTGTTTCTATGACTACCCTCTCTGCCTGGGCCTCACCTGATCATATCGGGCAATGATCTCCTCTCGTTCCAATGTGAGCAGAGCATCCAGGTCTTCCATGTCCAGTGCTGTAAGATAAATCACCCCAATATCTCAGGGCCTCACCTGATCCAGCTGCCCATCATCCCACCTGGGCATGTGGAATCTTCAGAGAAAAAAACAAATGCGGGTTCTACTCTAGTTTAGAGTTCAGAGTAGACAGCACACTGTGGGCAGAAAGGGAAGAATTTGGGGTTGGTATGCATTCAGTCTCTCATACTCCCACCTTCCCAGCCCCAGGGACATTGTGTTATGATGAGATAACAGCTGGAGGAGCAACAAGAAACCAATAGAGGCTCAACTGTGCTGTGGAGCCAAGTACAGGCCCAGGGCTGGCTACCACCAGCCCCTAGTTTTCCCACAGCCTTACCAGGAACTACACCGGCTTTTATGCCCCCAAAGTACAAGCAACAAAAGAAAACTTGCTGTTAATCAGACATTACCAACATCATAAGCTTCTGTGCTGCCACCAACAAGCCACACACTCAATGAAATGCTGTGAGTCACCATCTGACAGGGTCTGACATGAAAACCTATGATGCCATAGTCAACCTATGGCTCCAGTCGACCAAAAAAGGACCAATAACCCCTGGAAACATCACTGAATTGTCTTCTAGGGGCCGAATTTGTGGTTGGTGAATTGAAGAATATTCACTCTCAGAACCAGTCCCCATCCCTCAGGAGCCTGCAGTGAGATAGCAGGTAAGTCCATCAGGACACACCTGACCACCCACTGCAGGCAGTCACCTACTGTGGGGCAGGCAGAGAGGGTCCAGAGGCCACAAGTAGTCCTCGAACTGCAAAAGAGCCCTGTGTGCATGGTACACAGAAGCCTGGCTGCTGCCCAGTGCCTCTTGATGAATCAGGACGCTGGAGGGCAGATCCACTTCCAGGACCCATGGGCAAATCAGGAAGAGTTCTACTTTGGGGGCTGGGTGACATATTCACCTCAAGAACCACTGTCTCTTACAGGAGGACACACAATTCTGAGCAGATAACAGTTGCAGGGGTGCATTTTCTCTGAGTTTGGAGACATGAGGTCAGGAGTATCTAACACCCTCCCAGGGGCACACCTGAAGTCTGAAAGATGCAATGTAGAGAACCTCAGGGGGGTCATGCAAGGGAAAACCCCCTGAGCAGCCACTGTGAGACAACGTAATTGGGCCTGACTTCCCGCCACACAGGAGTGGTCACTATGGAATCTGTCGGTGAAGGGCACACAAGCCAGCAGTGGGGTCCAGACAGTCTCTTGACTCACAGGTCAACCAGGAGGCCCAGCCTGCCCACCCAGGAGCCAGTGTCCCCAATGAACAGGAAGGAGAAAACCAGGTGACACTCACCTGTCTCACCTGTCACTGGGTGACCAATATCTCAAGTGGAAATGGACACAAGGGCCAAGATAGGCACCTAGTGTCAGAGCCGGTCAGCAAGCAACCATAGAGATCCTCCAACTGCCTAGGGACTGGAGCAGAGTGGACACTGCGGTGGGCATCGTGTGGGCTGCTAACTGCCTGTAATGGGGGCTGCTGGTTAACACAGGTGAGTAAGCCTGGTTGCTCTTAGCTGTGATCCATCGACTTCGCAATTTCCAGTCTCCTTGTCCTCTCTCCATCTCCAGCCTCCTCCATTCACTTAGCACTCCTTTCTGCCCTGCACTTCCTCCTCTTGCTGCATCCTTAGCATCCTTCGTCTGTCCCCATCTTCTTCTCCCTGCTCTTCTCCACCGCATTCCTTTTCCACCTCCTCCATTTTCACTTGAACTAAAGGTAGTACAGCATCTTCTCACACCTACACCTCAGTTTCCCAGGTGGTCCAGCGTCCCATCACCAAGTCTAAACTCATAAAACGAAACTCACTGGGACTTAAACTTGCCTCACGTGACCCCTTTCCCCTGCCAGCTGGCCCCGCTCTCCCACCTCCATCTTCCTTCACCCCCTTCTTTCCTCCACCTGCACTGTCAGCCTCTGTCCCCTCCAGAGACCTCCCCTCCATGCCCCCCCTTTTACTGCTCTGTCATCCTCTCTCCATCTTCAGCCTCTTTCATCCTGTCCCATCTCCTCTCCATAGCCCTCTACAATCTCTCCCTCATCCTTCTCTCTCCATTCTCCTTACTAATTCACTTAAGGATACCTCCTCCTCCACCCTTTTTTCTGTCTTGCCCACCTCCTCCTCATTATACATCTGCCGGATCTCCTACTGCATCGGTTATCCTCCGCATGGCCCCTCCCCTCCCTGCCCTTCCCTATCATTTTCCTCCTACCAGCTGCATCTGCCACCTCATTCCAACCTACTCTCATTTACTTTTCCATTCATCAGCATCATTTCCTCCTTTTGGTCCATTTCTCCATCTTCCTCCCTTCTCTTTCCTTATCCTCCATCACCATCCTCTGTCATCCTGTTACCAGAGCCCAGCCTCCTGGGAGGCAGGCGCTCCCTTGGGAGCAGGAGCAGCAGCAGTGGTGGCCTCTCACCCTGCTGCTCCACCACAAGTCAGTTGTGGCAGTTGCTCCTCAGAGCCCAGCAACTGCCCTTTTACTTCCTGGACAGTGGAGTGGACCAATCAGTTATGAGCTATTAGTTGATGATGCTAAATGGTCCAATCAGCCACAGGATTGAAAAAAGTAGCAATCAGATGTAAGGGTGAGACATCTCTGAAAGAGAATATTAGTCAGGGTTGGCAGAATTTGTTCCTGGCTTCTGAAGAAAGAAGAAAGAAGGACCAGAAACTGAAAGAAGAAAGAAGCATCCAGCAGCCAACCACCAAGAAAGGAGAGAGGCCGAAGACCTTTGCAGAGACTGGTCCTCCACTCCTGTCTCTGACATTGTCTGAAAGGAGCACCAAATGCTTCAGGCCTGGTGTCTCCAAATGCTGTGCGTGGTTGGTATCCAACAGCTCGCAAAGAGCTGTTAACACTTGGTAGTTCTGACACTTCCTCTTGGGGACCAGTAGTGACCATCACTACTGGCAAGTGTAGTCTAGCTCTGTTGACAGGTGACTGGTACTCTGCTTGTACTTCTGGTGGACACTATCTGGGTGAGATAGCCAGTCACTTGTGGCCACAGTAAGCTTTTGTTTCCTCTGTTTGTAAAATAAATGCTATGGTTGTTGTTTCTGGACCCTGAGGTTTCTTCTAATAGTGTGTGCAGGTGAGAACCCACAGACAGTGTCCTGTCCTTTATCAGTCACTGTTTTTTTGCTGGGTTAGAGTCCATTGGTCCCTATTATATGGCATTGTATTGCTATAGCCCTTAATTTTGCTTTTTGTCTTTTTGGCCTTTGGGGGCTTTTGTGGCACCTTTCTTGTCTTCGAACCCAGGCAGGTGGGTGGCCATTCTGTCCTATCCCAAACTCTTGTCCTAAATTCTCCCATTTTAATCAAAGATAAATGCACCTGAAAGGACAGGTCCAGCACACCAGATAAGGGGGCTATGAGCATCTGTGTCAGAACCAACTTGGAGAGTATTTGTAAACTTCTAGGACATCAATAGGAAACACCAATTCATCATGATTGAACTATAGAATACAATGAAGAAATTAAAAATATGGAGGCTCCTATGAAGATAATGATGAACATTTCTACATCATTCTATGTGAAAAGCACCCTAGTTCCAATAAAGGTACCATGTGTGTTTGCAATAAACATCCACTAGGAATAAAAAGACTGGGGTGCACTTAGCAATGGAAGTGTGAAAAGCTGCCCTGGACCTCTAATCCATGATTGCTGGGTTAAAGGGGAAGGTGCATCCAGTCCTCTGATCCAGTTGACTCAAGACCCCTATTGTTGGTTAGCATGGTAGCACCCCAACGTCCACCTGCTGCTTGGCAGTCACTTTGCTTCCTACCCCTATTGTTTCTCCTTGTCTTGTCTGTTAGCTCATTGAATTTTTGATATACTAGTCCATCTCATCATCCAACAAGGTCCCACAGCAACAGGCAGGTGAGAGTGACCTGCTCCCATCACTATTCCAATTCACAATGGATAGTGATCCATGTTTTGATGGGATGGCCACCTGGAATGCATCTGGGGCGACCTGACACCCTGCACTGCTGTGTGCCTCTCTCACCAGCCTCCTCAGCTCCCTTGGGGAAAGGTTGGCAGTTCAGGGGCCCCTGTCTAGCTCAAAAGGCTGAGTAGCATTTGGAGAGAACCCAGGAAATGGAAGAGTTCATTGAAAGGGGAGTTGTGGAGTGTTGAGAAAGGACTCAGAAGATGGAGAGCACAATGGAGCAGAGGATGAAGGAGAATGAGGGTAGAGAGAAGGATGATGGAGCAGTAAAAGGGAGAGGATGATGGGAAGGTCAGTCTGACAGTGCAGGTGGAGGAAAGAAAGGGAGTAAAAAATGTTGGAGGCGGGAGAACAGCGCTACCTAGAAGAAGGAAAGTGGTCATGTGAGGTCATTTTAAGACCCAGTGAGGGTTATTTTATGTGAGTTTAGACTTGGTGATGGGACACTGGACTGTCTGGGAAATTGAGAAGCGTGGGGATGAGAAAATCCTCTACTACCTTTAATTCAAACAAAAATGGGAAATGCCCACACTAAATTTGGTGTCCATACACGTACCCTGAGGGGGATTGAAGGGGAATGAGAATGTGAGAAAGGACAAGATTTCAGGACCAGTGGCCTCTGAACCTTCTAAAACCTGCCCATCTCTGCTGTAGGCTTCCCATTGTTACCACCTAAAGCAGGGCTGATGCTCACTGGTTCCAGGGTTAAGAGAGAACAGGCTACCTGGAACACTTTACTGTGAATGTCTGTGTTGATGAGAATGTAAAGACCCACCATTCTTTTGCTTGCAGCTCCCTGTTCCTAGGCCCTTGAGACTAGTTTCAAGTGACCTGCTCTGCCAGGCCCACTGCCCATCTCAGCCCACATGTCCCATTCCACCCAGGGGACAGAGGTCACACAGAGTTCAGACAGGTGTGTGTGGCCTTCTCCACAACTCTTCAGGTACTGTGAGGAGGGTGGCAACTGGATGATTGTGAACTGTGGGTTCCCCAAGCATAGACCTGACATAGCCCCTATACTGCAGCCTCCAAAGACTGCCAAGATAGGATGGGGGTGTTGGTGTCCACATCCATGGGAGAATCCTGTAAGAGATCAGCCAGCTCCCAAGAAGGGAAGGAGGAAAAGAAAAGCATTTGTGTGGCCAGATAGAAAAATGGGGCAATAGGACAGAGGAGGTAAAGGGATGAGCAGAAAGATGAGTAGAGGATAAAAGTGGATTTGAGAGACTAAACATGGATGATGGCGCAAAGGAAAAATGAATGTGGATGAGGATTAAGTAGGGAAACGGAAACAATATGGAAAAGCACAGTGGAGTGAGGAAAGGAGAGACGATTGGAAGGAGGAGAATGCTTGAGGGCAAAAGAGGGTGAAGATAGCAAGTAGTTTGCAGGATGAAGTAGTATGGAGGCTGCAGGAGCATGAATGAGGAAGAGAATGAGAAATGGAGAGAGGTGCATATCATGTGAGCAGATGGAAGGAAGGAAGGAAAGATGGATGGAGAAGGAATGAAAAGGATGGACATGCGTTGGGCAGTTGGGTGAAGGAGGAACAAAGAAGGAGGTGTTTGGGTTTCTAAGGTCAAAGGTTGAAGGTTATAAGTGACCCATCTCCCTGACCCACGAAAACTCACTAACCACAGTGTTGGTTCACATGGCAGCATCCCAAAGTTCTGCCCACTGGCTGGCAGCCACTCTGCTCCCTGGCCCTAGGAAGTTGGAGGTGTCCTATCATTTCTCCTTGCCATGTCTGCTCCCTTGCTGCATTTTTGACACACTGGTCCATTTCTGTCACAAAAATGCACAGGGGTATTCAGTGTGGGATGCTGGAATGGCTGGAATGCCTACTCACCTGCCCAGGCTCTAAGACAAAAAAGCCACCAAAAAACCCCAAAAGACCAAAAAGCCAAAAACCAAAATCAAGAGCATATATAGCAATACAATACACATTTATTAGGGGTCTATGAGCATAGTTGACCAAAGGACAGTGCCAAATAAGAGGACAAGGGTTCTCACCTGCATGCGCAATTGAAAGAGACCTCAGGGTCCAGGAACAACTATGGGGTTTATTTTACAAACAGAGGCTACCTCACCCAGATAGTGTCCACCAGAAGTACAGTAGGTACAAGTCCCCTGTCAACATAGCTAGACTACAGTGGCCAGTAGTGATGGTCACTAATGGTCTCCCAGAGGCGTTGTTAGAGACATCAACTGTTAAATGCTCTTTGCGAGTTGTTGGACAATACCAACCACAAACAGCTTTTTTTAAAAAAAGATTTATTTTTTTTATTTATACAATAGCTGGGGTACAGGTCAGAGGTGCAGGAGGGTGAGAGGATTCACCAGAGACAGGGTGGGGAACAGAACAGGCAGACTGACTGAAATACACTGTGGAGGGGAGCAGCGGGCATGTCAGGAGAAGTCTGCCGCGCCATGTGGCAATCTCCCTGGCTGGCCGGGAATCAAACCCACGCTGTGGAGGCTGTGGATAGCTTCATAGTGCTGCGCTCAACCCACTGCACCACCGGGGAGGCCCCACAAACAGCTCTTTGAGACACCAGGCCCAGAGCCTTTGATGCTCTTTTCAGGCGATGTCAGAGACAGGACTGGAGCCTCAGTCTCTGCAAATGTCTTCTGTTTCTCGTCTCTCCTAGAAGATCAGCTGCTGGATACTTTTCTTCTTCCTTCTTTAAGCTTCTGGTCTCTTCTTTCTTCTTTGATCGGAAGCCAGAAATGAAGTCTTCCCCTTCTTTCTTCTGAGATTGGAATAATCTGTCTTCATTTTTTTCCCCCAGATTCCTCCAATGCTGGCTTATGTCCTCTTTCAGGGTGCTTCACCCACAAGTCTGATTGGACTATTTTTCAATCCTGTGGCTGATTGACCATTTAGCACCAATTATAACAAAGCTTGCACCTGATTGTTCCATTCCATGATCCAGGAAATACACATGAAAGGGTGCTTGCTGGGCTCTGAAGAACCACAGTCAGCCACTGCGTGAGAGACCACCAGCATTGCTGCTGCCAGCTCCCACCATTGCAGGGGCTCATTCAGTTCTGGTAAAACTTTCAGGTGCATCTAGCTTTGAAAGAATGTTCATTGCACCCCTTACAGTGTCACCAGAACTTCTGAGCCCCTCTCCAACAAGCCTAGTCCACAAAGCTGGAATATTGGTCTCTCAAGGTACTGTTCCTCATGGAATAGATTTTATTTTTAGTGTGTGTGTGTTTGTGTGTGTGTGTGTGTATATATATATATATACACACACACATATATATATATTATCTTTCACTTAGAGTGAGTGATAAACATTATTCAATTTCATTTATTCACCTTTTCATGTCCGTATCATTTCCAAATATTATCTGGCCTTTTAAAAGTTGGATACATAGACACTCTTCAACCATTAAGGATATTAAAGCTGCAAGTATTTTGTGGACTTTGATGTTTTTGTGGACTTTGCCTTTGGAATTTTTCTGTCATGGAAAGGCTAGTTTTTTATCAGGCTGAATTTGTCTTTGTCCTTTTCTCATAGTGGCTTCTAGGAAACATGTCCCAGTCAGACAGGCTTCTCTTCTGGGTCTGAAAGTATCATAGTGATGAGGCATTTTCTTGTTTGCAGTACTTTCATTTTATGAACAAGTCCTCTATCCACTTGGTTTGACCTGGATTAAGGAGGAGGATGACAATCAGCTGATTGTTTCTCCATGGTCGTCGATCCCTGATCCACTTAGTGAATAATAATTGTTTTATTCCAGAAACCCTGGGACTGCAAGTAGTAATCGTGCATATCTATCTGGGACTGTGTTCATTACTGCAGTCACATTGTCATTTGTATTCATATTCTGCACACTGGAGGTGCTTCCCTCCTGTCTCTTTGCACATGTCTAGATATTTTTGGGTATTTGTCCCCATGATGTTTAAAATCAGCTCATGTAGATCCCACAGCCACCTCCATGACATCTCCAGGTGCTCCCAGGCATCTCCCAGAGAGAGGGGGCTTCTTCAGGGTGTAGACATTCATGAAGAAACCTTCACTATGACTTCTGCAGAGTGGGAGAGGGTTGGAACAAAATAGTACACTGTATGGTCCTAAATATATGAAGTTGAGAATCAGGTAACTCTGATCTTGATGACAGAGATAGAGGCAACGGGCCGCTCTGGAGCAGGATGGGTGACTGGGAGTAATATGATGCGACTCCCAGATGGGATGAAAATGCCTTATATTTTGATTGAGATTTGTGTCAAGAGTGTATTCATTGCTGAAACATGAAAACTGCAAAGTTATGAATACCACAAATCACCATTTCTTGTTGATATTATTAACAATAATATAAAACCATTAAAGATGAAACATGTAAACTTTGTAGTTTTTAGCAAATATGACATTTTTATATAATCAGATTAATGAAATGAATGTTTTTAGGTCTAAAGAATAAACGGATGATTTCATATAGATCCTGTCCTCAGAGAAATAGAATATAGAATATAGAAAAACCCACTGAAAACCTGCTGTGAAGGATTAGAGAACTATAGAGAGGAGGACACAGGCAAAGGCGAAGGATCAGAAGGAGAAGAGGTGCACATGGGATTCGCTAGAGGCAAGTGAACGGAAACCGAAATCGGCTTTGATATGGATGGATCTGGTTATAACACTGATGCATGCTCACAAAAGTCGAAGCTGGAGAAGCATAAACTGAAAGGTGGTGTTCAAATCTGGTACATAGAAATTGAGCACAGGCCTATGCTCTCACAGTGAATTATCCTGTGTCCTTCCCAAGCCTATGTTTTGTTTTTCTACTTCTATTAGCTCTTTATGTGTGAGGACATCAGTCCTGCTCTGTTGTCACATTTGCAAGTTAATGTGATATCAACCTGTAAGGAAACTTCCCTGCTAAGGGGCGCCAAATGGGTGGCATCCTCAGTCAGCAACTGTCTGGTCTGCAGAAACTCTGGAGGTCTTCCTGGAAGTGGTGATTTCCTGATGCCGGGCAGCAGGGCTGTAGAACCATGAAGCCCCTTGCTGCATGGTCCTATGAGAGTAACAAAAATAAGTGTGTGTGTTCTAATATTTGAAAAGAAAAATGCAGAATCTAGATATCTGCATTTTTTTATCATTTAAATGTGTTTTATTTTCAACTGAAAGGTGCATAAAATCTTTTTTCAAGCTAGCAATTTGTCTTCTTTGAAGTTTCATTTTTTTCTTTGTTTCTGAGTTTCCTAGAATTTTTACAATCTAATTCTAATTGCCTAAAGAATTCCATTAAAATGTAACTGATAATCTGATCCAGAATATTTTTTTTTGTTTTATTTATTTATTTATTTATTTTTATAATAAATTTTATTTTTATATTCCCCATACAATTGCAACCCCCCCCATTCTGACCCCAATCCCTCCCCTCCCGCCCCCCACCCCCCAAAAAGTGTCTCTGGTTCATAGTTTTTTGTTGATTTTGATTTTCACTTTCTTATAGTTATTCATTTTCCTGGTCCCTTATTTAAGTTTTCTAGATTCCTGCTATGAGTGAGACCATCCGGTATTTTTCTTTTTCTTTTTGGCTTCTATATCTGCATTTTTTTTGCAATTCTTTCAAAAAACACATGTGTAGTCCAAACAATACACATTGAATGGAATGTACTGTCAGTTATATCATAGTGAAAAGTGGCCAGCTAGGAGATGAAGCACTCAGTAAGACCTTGTCAATGATCTCAGAAGACCAAACTCATCTCTCAATACTAGTGAATCTTAGAAAACAGGTGGAAATTAGAAATTATAATGCACCTGGTTAATGGGTGATATGATAATGGGAAAACTATAGGGACTACACCTGAGGGGAGAAAATTATTGTACAAAAATGAACAATGGGGGCCTCCCCGGTGGCACAGTGATTGAGCGCTGGGTTGCGAAGCTGCCCGCAGTCTCTGCAGAGCCGGTTCGATCCCCGATTCGATCTCCCTCCACCGGGCGAGGGTCCCACATGGCGTGCAGACCTCTCCTGCCGCCACCGCTGCTCCCCTCAGCAGTGTACCTCGGTCCATCTGCCTGCTCTGCTCCCCGCTCTGGTTCTGGTGGATTCTCTCACCCTCCCGCGCTTCTGACTGTACCCAGTGCTTATATAAATAAATAAATAAATCTTTTAAAAAATGAACAATGATGTAAGTCAGTAGAGAAAAATAAATATTTGCTGCAAATATTACAATGACACTGGTTATCAGGTTATATTATTAAAAATGTTTCTAAGAAAAAGAAAAAGAAATGCTAAGACTATTGCAGTTAAATTTAAAAGTCACATAATTAGGGAAGATGTTTGTGATAAAGTGGCAGACTATTTGTATAAAGAAAGATATAACAGGGCCTCCCGGGTGATGCAGCTGTTTGAGCACCGCGCTGTGAAGCTGTCTGCAGCCTCTACAGCACGGGTTTGATTCATGGCCAGCCAGGGAGAAACCCGCATGGCGCGGCAGACCTCTCCTGCCTTGTCTGCTGCTCCCCTCACTAGTATCTTCCGTCTGTCCGCCTGTTCTGCAATCCGCTCTGTCTCTGGTGAATTCTCTCACCCTCCCATGCCTCTGACTGTACCCCAGTTCTTATATAAATAAATATTTTTTTAAAAAGATGTAACAATATAACACATGGTAGGCATATTCAGACTGTGTTACTTCCACCAGTTTCATACAATGATCTTAGCGCCCCCCCTCATATTGGCAAGATAATCCTAAGAATCATGTTATTTCAAAAAGTTAAATGACCAGGAAGAAGTGGGGAAGTTATTTTTCCTGTATCACTGGTTAAGGGCCATCAAACAGAATGTCTACTTGACATAACAGCCACAGAGAGACAGAATTTCTAAAATCTATTCCAACTTAAAGCTCTACACTCTGAAAGTACCACCACAAATTCACTAATCCACATAGTAAATGCAACCATTCAGGTTTGTTAGAGAAGTAGGTGCAATTTGTTTTTAAGTAACCAAAATCCCAAACTTAAAGTCAGTTTATCTAAAAAAATTCTAGCAGGTTACATGCAGTCATGAAATTATATTGTATATCTATTTACTAAGCCACTTATAATAGCAATGATGTTGTATAGTAAGGTACAGAAAAAAAATCATCTTGCACAATTGTAAATGTCCTTTGGCAGTAAGAAAACGTTAAGTTGTCCCATGTAAATTTTTGATAAACTAGTACAAATAAACTTATTATAGCTTGAAATATAGAGCACATCCTCAGAAAAACACTTCAACTTTATTCTAGATTCTCATCTTTAAAAATTACTGTATTCCCATGTTCTATAATTTCTCTATATACTCAGCCAATTCTTCTCTGTCACCATTATCTACTAAATCTATTCACTATATGGTGTTCTTCATTATTTCCATCTCACATCCACTGAGAAGACTGAATTAGAGCTAGATAGTGATTATAACATAAGATTTATAATGGTGTTTTTAGAATTGGTCCATTTTATAACTGCTAATGACCATCACACTGATTTTTTACTTTATTCACTGTTACAAACCCTCCAGAAATTCTTCACAGGGTCTTGGTCTTGATCAAAAAGCAGATAGAGCTGACCTATTTATAAAACCTCAACATCTAGTTTATTTTCTTAGTACCAAGTACTGGTCATTACATTCACTGAATTTCCTTAACTTTACCAAATTCCCCAAGCTATTCAATAGTTTCTTCATTATTTGCTTATTCATTTTAAATTTAAACACTAGAGTCATGTTGCACTGTCACCACTTTTTAAATCTAAAAATTTTGTATTTATATCTTTTTGTTTTCTGTATCAACTTATACCTTATATCTAAGCTGTAAATTTTCAGTTTTTATACATTCTTCATGAAATTTGAATAGCTTTCTTCTAAGAAGGGACTCATTGATCTTTAAGATATTTATAGTAATCAATTAAATGGTATACATATTCAGGGCCTCCCCTGTGGCGCAGCAGTTGAGCGCTGGGCTGTGAGGCTGCCAGCAGCCTCTGCAGCACCAGTTCGATCCCCAGCTGCCGGCAAGTGTCCCTCATGGCACACAGACTTCTTCTGCCGCGCCCGCTGCTCCCCTCAGCAGTGTATTTCATCAGTCTGCCTTTTCTGTTCCCCGCCCTGGCTCTGGTGAATCCTCTCATCCTCCCATGCTTCTAACTGTACCCTGGTTCTTATATAAATAAATAAATATTTAAAAAGATAAATAAATTTTATACATATTCAATTGTAATCAACAACTAGCCAATGACAATGGGCTAACTCAAGTATTGTTTCCAAATAATATATGGAGGGCCTCCCCTGGTGGTACAGCGGTTGAGCGCTGGGCTGCGAAGCTGCCCTCAGCCTCTGCAGCACCAGTTTGATCCCCACCACTGACAAGGGTTCCACATGGCGCGACAGACCTCTCCTGCCACGCCTGCTGCTCCCCTCAGCAGTGTATTTCGTCATTCTGTCTGCTCTGTTCCCCGCTCTGGCTCTGGTGAATTCTCTCACTCTCCCACGCTTCTGACTGTACCCAGTGCTTGTACAAATAAATCTTTAAAAAAAAAATATGGAGGGCCTCCTTGGTGGTGCAGTGGTTGAGCGCTGGGTTGCAAAGCTGCCCGCAGCCTCTGCAGTGCCGGTTTGATCCCTGGTCGCCAGGCGAGGGTCCCACATGGTGCGCATACCTCTCCTGCCGCCCGCTGCTCCCCTCAGCAGTGTACTTCATCACTCTGCCTGTTCTGCTCTCCGCTCTGGCTCTTGTGAATTCTCTCACCCTCCCATGCTTCTGACTGTACCCAGTGCTTGTACAAATAAATAAATCTTTCAAAAAATATGGAAAATAATATGTTGGAGTGAAAACTGTGTATTTGGTAACTAATTTAAGGACTGCTAACAAAGCATAATTTATAATTTTAATGAAACATTTAAACATTTAATGAATTTTCTTAAATTTGCAATCATAATCCAAAACTCTGTACTGTTGAATGTATGTTTGCTTTTGAGTTTTCACAAGTCAAGATTGGCCTCAGGTGATCAATGACTTCTGTCTCCAATAACCCAGAATTAGGATAAAATTCACAGATTAGGGACAGTCTTCTAAAGACTTCCCTTACTGCAGACACTATCTCTAAGTGTGCAGTTAACTCTCACTATTTTCTAGCTGGTTTTAAATTCAGGATTCCCACAGCCCACCCAGATTTGACTGTTTAACAGATAATTCATCAAAGCACTATACTTATTACTATATTTTTACTATTATAAAAGGATAATATTCAAAACCAGTCATAGGGAGAAATGTTTATGGTAAATTCTGGAGGTTTCTAAATGTGAAGGTTTTATTGTACCCAGAGGTACATTACCCTCCTGGTACACTGAAGCAAGATAATATGCAGAGTATTACCAAACAGAATACTTTACCCAAGATTCAATGTACAAATTTTTATTGATGTTTCATTTGTAAGCATAATCACTGAGTTATTGGCCACTCAGCCAAACTCAATTTAGACCCTCCTTCCTCTCTGAAGGCATGGGTCTGATGCTACATGGCTCAAAGCCTCAACTCTAATAACCTGGTTGGCTTTTCTAACATCACCGGCTTTCAACTTGACTCATATTATAAGCATAAACTATGTCAGAGTCACCATGAGTCACCTAATTAGTTATCAGTTATAGTTTAAGGAGACCAGCAGGAATAACAGACTACACTGTCATTCAGGAAATTCTGAAGATTTAGAAGCTGCTTCTCAGGAGCTTGATATGAAGTTTGGCAAACTTCCCTATTCCAAGGGTTTAAAGGTTACCTACAATGGACCAGGGATTAAGACAGACCAAATCCTTGGGCCTTCCCTGATGGTGCAGGCAGTTGAGCAGAGCACTGTGAGGCTGTCCGCAGCCTCTACAGTGCCGGTTTGATCCCAGCCAGCCAGCGAGGGTCCCACATGACGTAGCAGACCTCTCCTGTCACGCCCGCTGCTCCCCTCAGCAGTGTATTTCATCAGTCTGCCTGTTCTGTTCCTCTTACTGTCTCTGGTGAATCCTCTCACCCTCCCACAAATCTGGCCTGTACTCCAGTTCTTGTACAAATAAAATAAATAAATCTTAAAAAAAGACAAAA